TGAGTTCTAGTCCTACTTTAGGCATGAAAGCGAATTGGGTGACTTTGGGCCAATCATCAGGAGACAGTGAGTTCTAGTTCTGCCTTAGGCATGAAAGCCAATTGGGTGACTTTTGGGCCAATCACCAGGAGACGGTGAGTTCTAGTCCCACCTTAGGCATGAAAGCCAATTGATCATGTGATCCCCTTTGGTGACCTTCTGACAAGCAAAGTCAATGGGGAAGCGGGATTCACTTAGCAACCGTGTGACTAAACTTAGCAATTGCAGTGATTCACTTAGCAACTGCGGCAAGAGAGGTCGTATAATGGGGCAAATTCTCTTCACAAACATTTCACTTAGGAACAGAAATTTGGGGATCATAACTTGAGGGCTACCTCTTGATTTTCACTTTTTTTTCTTCTTCACAGTTTGGGGAGGGGTTTCTTTCAAATTTGGCTTTAGATTTCGAGAAAGTAACCTTTCTTTTAAAAACCAGACGCATCTACAAATGGGAGATGCCCTTGAGTTTATTGGGGTGGGGGGGGGCGGAGAGGCGCCGTCCTGACCTCGCTTGCAAGCGGGGAAAAGGTGCTGGGCCCGAAGACTGCAACTCCCAGGGAGCTCAGCGGCGAAGGCAGGAAGCACGTGACGCTCCGGGGGCGGGGCCTCGGCCGCGCGTCCGAGGCAGGCTAGCGCTGACGTCCTCTTCCGTTCTGCTGGCAGCCGCAGGAGCGAAGGTGGGAGGGGGCTGCGCGGTCCAGGGGTTTATTGATGGGGAGGGGGCTGTTGGGAGGGGAGGGGGCGTTATGGGGAGGGGAGAGATTCTAATCAGGTCCTGTTTGGGGAGGGGGGCAACTTTCTGGGGGGTCTCTGCTAAAGAAGACCCCCCACCCCAAAGAAAGAGCCTTGAAAATTGGAAGGGGGTCCAAGCGGGGAAAATCGGGGGGGGGGGGCGCTGCATAAATTGCCCTTCCCGCGGTTCCACCTTTTCTCCTTGGTTCCCAGCCTCAGCACAGGTTGGGTAGGACTACAGTTCCCATCACCCCCAGCCAGACGCTACCCTCCTTTGATTCTCCCTTCCCCGGCCTTGCACACCAGGCACCCTCTGGTTGGGTGGGGCTACAGTTACCATCATCCCCAACCAGAAGCTACCCCAAGAGTTATCCTTCCCCCCCTTGCCTTGCACACCTGGCACCTTCTGGTTGAGTAGGGCTACAGTTCCTATCATCCCCAGCCAGACGCTCCCCTCCTTTGATTTCCCCCCCCCCCC